TTTTAAAAAATTGATAAATTATAGTACCTTACAAACTATGATAGAATAAATAACTATACTTCAAAACATGTATTATTATTATTATATATTATTTTTTTGCAATCATATACTATAGAATATTGACATGTTTAAGAAAAACTGAGATAGTTTTACCAGTTTGATGAATCGGGCTCATTCAATACACAGAGAAATGACAGCTGTGTGGAAAATATTAATACATTGTTATTATGTAGCCATACAGACCAGCTATACCATCAAATACTTTCTTACAGTGTGTTAAAGTTATTTTCAGTTTGAGGAATGGTAATGTTTTGGCACTTCCATACACATTGGACAGTATGTTAAGCTTTGAAACAACTGAATAAAATATTTCTTGTTATCTTTTAATACTTTAAAATAACAAAATGTATCAATAAGAATACCTGGAGGAAACAGAAGGCACAATCAGGAGTGACTTGGGAGAGAATTTAGATAAGGGATACTTTATGGAGAAGCGAGGGTTAAGGGTAGTGACGAGATATTTTTGAGTATCTATCCTGTAGCCACAGTGGAAAGCTGAAGGCCCGAGAGATAAGATGTGACAAATATGAGCAGGAACTATGGAAGGGTGTATTCATGGAGCAATGCAGGCACTCCCAGAAGATACCTCAGAGCTAAGTTACAGACCAACTGGGGCAAGAATTCTCACTCCTACTGCCCCCTGCCAGTGCCTCTCATTGACTATACCCCAACAGAAGGCAAAGGACAAGGGAAATTAGGTGAATGCAGTTCCTAGAGGCTAACTCCTGGGGCACAAGGGCACAAGAAGGTCAAATGATGGATTTGGGGTTGGAGAAGGGGTGAGGAATAGAAAATGATTAGTACAATAAATGAAAAAATAAGTGTATCATGATATTATATCATATCAAAATCCACATTTACAAAGCATTTAGATCTTGTGTAACTTAGCATTAGCCCCATGATGATTTCAGTGGAATAACCTGAAACCTTGAATCCACAATTATCAAAATATAACTCCACTCATTAAGACTCCCTAAATTGGGTATAATCAAGTCATATTTTTCCTTATGTTGTAAGGTTCCTAAGCAGCTTTCCTGGTAGCAGAGCATCTATAAAAAATTAGGTAAATTAGACTCATTTAGTCAATTAGAACTCTGCCCTCATTGACCAAAATAAAAGCTGAAGAGTCAAGCATTTTCCTTGTTTCATATGGAATAAGTACGAGCAGTTAGACTCATTAAATGCATGACTTCCCACTCTGTTATCAATACAAAATTGTTTCTACTTGCATTTTCTACCAATCAGCATAACTTTAGAAGGAAAGATGGAGAAAAGGGAGAACAAATTAAGTGCACACCTTTTTTTCTGCCTGAGAAACAAAGAAAACAAAACAAAACAAAAAACAAAAATGCCTCACAAGTGGCAAAGTGAGAGAGATTACTAATGGTAAATCAAATTCACCAATCTGGTGGTCATGGGATAGCTTTTTTGATCATTGTCTCCCTGATAACAGGTTACTTGCTCCTCCTAGCTCCCTTATTACCCTGTTTTCTATTTTTTTTCAATCCACGTTATGGAGTACTATATAATTAGGATGTTTTCCCATGATGCTATTAATATGTTTACAGGACACATTAAAACAGGAAGTTATTGCCATGGAGTTGCGACCGATGCACTGGTAAGCCTAATTCAACAACTGAGACAAGACAGAAAGTACTTGATTCCCTCAAAAACCCAAAAACCAGATGTAAATTACAGAGATTGTTAAAATCAATTCTAAGCTTAAATATAACAAGGCTAACTAGAGTTTTGGTAAATGAAGTAAGGTGGTAAAATAAAGAGAACCTCAAAAGAGACTAATCTGAGATGGCTGATATTCAAGACCATGCTTCCTTGCCCTATCCCACTTTCCCTTTTTAATTTCTATTTCACATTTGTCATGGTTGTTTTAAACACATGGTTCACTGTCAATGACCAATTTAAATAAGTAATGCTGCCTTTTAAAAATAAATATGCAATGATAAAGGGGACATTTAAAGCTGCCTTTTCAGTTAAGAAGGAAAAATAAAACATAATATTATAGGAGGTGGATAGGTAGATAATGAAATATTTTTTAACTGTTGCAGCTTTGTGCGGTTATCCTCAGGAACGATATGTCAATCCATCTCTAAAGAATCACTAATAAAATCTCTATAAAAAAAGCTACTCACAATTAACACTTGTGGTGTTATTAAGTCGGGAGTGACGCAGGAGGAAGGGAGTTGAATATAACCCTTACTCTTCCATTGTTTAAATTACCCTGTGTTCTTCTAGAGGGCACCAAAGTATAGTTGTATAGAAGCAAGAGTAAATCAGCTCCAGGGAGCACTCTCTTTGTGAGATGCCAGCTTTGAGCTGAAGTTGAGTTTCAAGTTGCTGAACACCCCCATACAGCAGTAAAAAGATGTAAGATATCGACACGCTCAGCTGCATCTTGTTAAAAGCTTCCTGCGGGTTGGCAGAATGAAATCTTTATTTAAAATACACAAACTATTGTCAAGGGAAAGATGGAAAAGAGAACACAGTAAAAGGGCCAAATGCTTTGCTTAACCCACCAGAAGCAGCAGAAAGGGAGAAGTGGTCACATTGTCTTTGCAGCAACAACAGAAAAGGTGACTAACACCACCACATCAGCATTCATCTACTCTTCCCATGGTATCAGGATGCATTATTTCTTTTATTATTAATTATGTGTTTCCGGGGGAGGGCAAATATATTATTACGAATAGCAAAAGAGGAAATCATTTCTGGTGCCACTTGGCATTAAGTACAGTAGCGTATGTAATGGGTGAGTGATGACAGGAAACATAGCAGCAGCGTTGAGTTCTGGCATCCCCCCTACAAACCCGCTGCAACTTGCTCTTGGTAGTCAGAGGCTTTCAACCAGAAAGTTCATGTAAAACCATTATTGAACACTGACAGGAAGGAACTGAGACAGGAGGCAGTGGTGTGTATTTGTGCAGAAGGGGAAGGAGGGAGGGAGGGAAGGAGAGAGAGAAGGACAGACTAGGAGAGAGAATGAGTTAGTCATCATCTTGCACAGACACCACCATAAGGGGGCAGGTGCTTTGCATAATTATAAAGATAAACATACACATGCACACACACTTGCACACACGGAAGAAATCTTTTTGGTTTATATCCTATCATTTCCAAAAACAGCTTTAAGTGATAATGATTGTGAACGTTCCTGGATGGGTGAGCTCAGTAGGTTTAAGGGGGTGGAGCAGGTAGCCTGGCAGGAGATGGGTTCAGAAGAAGGGTCACTCCTGAAGAGCAAAGGGACATGACAGGCAATGAAGCAGGCATGAAAAGAAAAGAGGTGAAAGGACCCTGGGGAAAATGTCACATGTATTGATTAAGCTTTATTTCTCTTCGGGAGAAAGTGACATTTCTGCTATTAGATCATGGACATATAAGGAAAGTAGATGGCTCACTGCTTTTCATTTTCTTCCACAGTGCTTAAGGCACCTTTGACCAGAGGGTACCTGGAATGCTTTCTGTTGCATTATTATAAACAGGATAATTATTTTGGCTTTTTTTTTTTTAAGGCGAAAGATTTATACGATCTGAAGAGAAACCAGAGTTTTTTTTTTTTTTTTTTTTTTAAAGCACCAACGTGGTGACATTGCTCTTTCTTTAGCAAGAGAGATAGCATTGGTTGCCACAGATGTATCCTTTCATTAGACACAAACGACGGTAAAATGATAGAAGCTTTCTGTTACATTTTTTCCATCCTGCTCTTCCCTTGCTCCAATCTTCTTCTCTAGCTTTGCTCAGGGGATTTAAGTTACTCGTTCCATGTTTGTAGAACCTCAGAGGTTCTACACCACCTCAGAGGCATTCGTCATTCTCCTAAGCAGGGAGTAGAGAAATACCTCCCCCCCGCCCCCATCCCTATGCAGTCCATGTGTTCGCCTCAGAAGCGAGGCTAGTTTCTAGCAACTCTTTCACAGGTTTTTCCCTTCTCAACTACTGCCTTGACAGAGCCCTATCTCTACCTCAAGCCCAGCCACGCTACCAAGCACCCCGACTGAAAACTACATCCAGTATCCGAGATGCAGTGCACCCTGCACCACGCAGCCTCTGCTCCTGTTTCCTACTCTTCACTAAAGTGGACTCTTCATAAGCAACGAATGTATTGCAAATTAAAACTCTGCCCACCCCGCCCCGCATTTTTAACCCCGCCGCCCCTAACGCTTGCCGCCAGCTTCCCTCCGAAAAAGCAACCAAACAAAAACCGAAATAACCAAGAGCACGCAAACACCTGAAGAAGCGCAACCGGGATCTACACCTGGACAAGTCCTCTGTGGCTTTAGTGGTCAGGAATAGCCCCCTCTCCCCGCGCGGACCGCTTTATCCCGGAGCCCAGGGGCCATGCCACGGCCTCCGGGTCGCGGGGTCCGCTCGGTCGCGCCCGTTTCCCCTCCTCCCGCCCTGGCTCTCACTCCCGCACAGCCGCCGCAGCCGCCGCCGCCGCCGCCACCCCGGCTGGCGCTCGGAACATCCCGCGCCACGTCTTCCCCGCCCCGGCTCCCGCCCGCCAGAGCCGGGCCCGCGCCGCTGGCAGCCATCAAGTGGCTCGTTAAGGAAATGCAGGTGAGTGCGTGCGGCCGAGCGGCTGCTGCTGGAGACGTGGGGTGTGTGCCTGTGTGCGAGAGGGGGGAAGAGGGAGTGCGAGCCAGCGAGTGAGTGCGGGAGCGGCCGGGAG